TGTAGCATTCAGAACTAAAGACACTGCCCCTAAATTAGCACTCTCACAATCCATTTTAGTAAAGGTTCCTTAGGAAGCTGATGATACTAATCTACAAATGAAAGCAACTCTTTTACACTATACTCTTTGTTTCAATAGTTTCCTGGTTTTGCCTATTCCCCTTCCAGGCTGCCTTCTTGGTGACTAGCAGTTGTAGGAGTACTTCCTGTTGTTTCAATATGATATTCCTTTCTGGGTGGGTCCTCAGACTAGAAGCCATCTGGCCTTGGTTCAGTGCTAATTCACCCCTACATTCTTTTTCCCTGCCATTTCAACGATTACTGATAACAGCAACCAAAGGATTGTAAGTCTTGCCCTTTCCTTAATTCTCTGTATTTCATATGGACCCGGTTAGCCAATTCCTTAGGAGCTAGATCCATCAGTCCTAAATCTCATGAATAGCTTTTGCCTTTGGTAACTGTTGGTGAAGAACACTGGAAATACCATGGACTGCCAGAGGAATGAACAAATCTGTCCTGGAAGAAGTGCAGCCTGAATGTTCCTTGGAAGTTAGAATGGCCAAATTTTATCTACTTTGGTCATGTTGTGAGAAGGGACCAGTCCCTGGAGAAGGATATCATGTTTGGTATAGTAGAGGGTCAGTGAAAAAGGGGAGTACCCCTAATAAGATGGATTGATACAGTGGATAAAACAATTGGATCAAGCATAGCAAGAATTGTGAGGATGGTGCAGGACCAGGCAGTGTTTCATTCTATTGTACATAGGGTTGCTATGAGTCAGAGCCAACTCGATGGCAACAACAACAACTGATCATAGCATAACAGCTGCTTCAATCCATGTTTTTTTTAAATCCCATCTAGAAGGTTTCTCATTCTCTTGTTTATCCCTTTTCCAAAACCATATATCCCAGTGAATTTGGGCAGTTGCAGCAAACCTCACCATTCTGACACCAACTGCTCTGATAACTTTTTTTTTTTTATGTTCGTGTCAAATTTTCAAGTAATTTGTGTGTGTGTGTGTGTGAGAGATTTGGGTGAAAGTTTAAGAGCAAACTGGTTTTCCATTCAACAGTCCGTACATGTTCTCTTTGTGACATTAACTACAGTCCCCACACTGTAATAACATTCTTCCCACTTCCTCCCTATGCCCACTCCTCTGTGTTCTTCCTTCCCATCCCCTCCCACCTTCCTAGCTCTACCATTGGGCAAATGCTGTCCTCTTGATCTCATGTGCTTGATTGCTATAATGAGTATAAACCCTCCTAATATTACTGTTTACCTTATAAGTCTTCTATCATTTGGCTGCTGCTTGAATCATGAGGGTTGCCAAAGGGGTAAGGAGACCACATCTTCTGACCTCCTCTAACCCCACAAGAGGAAGACAGAATTACTATCAGTAGCCCAAGGCCTATTCCTTCGAGGCCAGATATACTGCCTCCCTCTGGCCCTTTCACCAACTGTTCCTCCTGCAGCACCCATTACCTCTTTGCTGGGTTTGATAATTCACTGCAGTGGCCACACAGAACTCACAGATTATGGGGTTCATTGGGGAAGCACAGACAACAGTTCAAGTTCAAAAATGCACTCAGTCTCTCGCAGCCAGCTGTCTCACTCAGCAGCCAGAAGTCTCAGTAGCATATCGCTCTTTCAATAATGTGTGTCTCTCACATCTCTCAGGAGCATGTTTCTCTCAGCAGCACGTCTTTCCCAGCCAGCAGTCAGAGAGACCCCTTCTGCCTCTAGGAGGGCTCCTTTTGAGCCTGGAGAGTGGCCCAAACCAACCAATCCCACCATCAGAGTTCTACACACCTGAGAGAGAGCAAACTTCCCAGAAAATTACTTTGTGCTGCTCCCAACAGAAATACCCCAGCTGGATAACTAACAATCAGGAGCTGCTCAGTTGCTCACAGCAAATTCCACCATGGAGTTTACAAAGACTTATGGCTAGAAAAGCCACACTGTGTAATTTACTACACCATAGGGTTAAGTTCAGTTCCTAGCTTGAAGGGTGTCTAAGGGCCATAGTCTCAAGGGTTCCACCAGTCTTCATCAGACCAGTAAGCCTGGTCTTTTTTATGATTTGTGTTTTCTACATTTTCTCCCACTCTATGGGGGGTGGGGGTAAAATAAGATCACTCTTATTGTGATCTCTTTCAGAGCAGTCAGCTGGGTACCATCTAGTTAGTTCTTCTGGTCTCAAGGTCATGGATGCTGGGGTTCACATGCTTCATTAGTTCTTTGGACTAATTGTTTCCTGTGTCTTTGATTTTCTTCACTCTTCTTTGCTCTGGGTGGGAGAGACCAATAGTTGCACCTTAGATGGCTGCTCACAAACTTCTAAGACCCCAACTACTACTTACCAAAGTAGGATGTAGAACATTGCTTTTGTAGACTATGTTATGCCAATTGACCTTAGTGTCCCCCAAGACTATGGTCCTGAGCTTCCATACCCAGAGACTCATTCCCTCAAGGTGTCTGGTTATGACTAAGATGTTTTCATAACTTTGTCTCCTGTATGCTGTACTACATTCATGGGTATATTTGCAGTGGACATAAATATATAGGTAGAGATAGCTTCTGTCAAACCTATCTATATTTGTGGATATAGTTCCAGTTGAATAATTTCTTTTAGAAGGATCACCACAAGGCTGGTCCCTATGAAGTAGAGGTTAAAGATGTCTCAAATGTCCAGTTTTTCCAAACTCCTGTACCACTTCATCATCTCTAACATCACCTTCTCTTCCTCTTCTCAGTACTCTCCCTCCCCTCAGTATTCTAACCCATTGCCATCAAGTCGATTCCAACTCATAGCAACCTCCATAGGGTTTCCAAGGGTGTGAATCTTTGTGGAAGCAGACTGCCTCATCTTTCTCTTGTGGAGTGACTGGTGGGTTTGAACCACCAATCTTTTGGTTAGTAGCTGAATACCTTAACCACTGTACCATCAGAGCTCCTTCTTAGGGTTCCATATTTTGCTGTAACGTCTCAAAACTCACAAACTTCCAAGGAAATGGCTCACACAGTGGCGGAGGCTGGCAAGGCTCAAATCTGTGGGTCAGGCATTGGTCTGGAGAATTCTCCTTACTAATGGTCGCAGGTGCTGATAAACCCAACTTGGCAGGTCAGACAACTAGCTGCTATATCACGTCCCAAGAACCAGGGGTGAGATGTTGTTAAACCAGATCCAGGATCCAGAGCAACAGAGTGAACTTTGCCATAACATTCACATATATACCCTCAAGGAAACTAAGGGTGGTGACTTAAGTCACATTCTCCAGCAAGGGGGGACTCAAGATACATTCCACCCTAATCCTGCCTCATCAACACAACAGATAGCTCACCCCAAAATGGGACCATAACCATAGGCATAGAAACTAGGATTTACAATACATCACAAAATGGAGCTCTGGTGGTGCACTGCCTAAGGCATTTGACTGCTAACCAGAAGGTTGGTGGTTCAAACCAACCAGTTGCTTCATGGAAGAAAGATGGGCCAATCTACCATAAAGATTTACTGCCTCAGAAACTCATTGGGAGTCACTAAGAGTCAGAATCGACTCGATGGCAGTGAGTTTGTATGGCTAGAAGGGCCACATTAAGCAATTCACTGCACTGCAATATTGTTCAAGTGACATTGGTTACTTTTTTCACAATGTGTCAACACTCTCATTATTTTCATTCTGGTTGTTCCATTTTCATTAATTTGGCTTCCCTGTCCCCTCTCAAACGTCTCATCTCTGCTTTAGGGTAAATGTTGACCATCTGGTCTCATGTAGATGATTTTTCAAAAAAGCACAGTATTCATGGGTAATATTGTTTTTTATGAGCCAGTCTGTTATTTAGCTGAAAGGTGAACTCTGACTGTGGCTTCAGTATAAAGTTTAAAAGGTATTGCAAGGTGATAGTCTTGGAGGTTCCTTTAGTTTCTACTGGTCCAGTAAGCCAGGCCTTTTTTAAAAAATTTGACTTTTTTTTAAATTATGATTTGGGTGAAAGTTTACAGAGCAAATTCACTTTCTATACAGCCATTCACATACACTTTGTCTCATAACATTGACTACAATTTACCCCAATGCAACAACTCCCCTCCCACTTCCTCCCAATAGTTACCTTTTCCCTGTGTCCATCCCTCCATGCCCTCCTGCCTCCTGAGCTATCTCCCAGTGTATAAACAGCCCTTCTTTCTCCCTTGATTGTTCTCTCCAAGGAGTGTATTCACCTCAAGTAAATGTTCAACTCATATGCCTGTCTTTTGTTTGGCTGGAAGCCACAAGTATGGGTTCAATTCCAGACCTGAGGAGCAGCTAGGGGCCATACTCTCAGTGGTTCCATCAGGCTCTATCAGACCAGCAAACCTGGTCCCCCTTAAAAATTTTGATTTTCTATTTATTTCTCCCACTCTATCTAGGACCACCTAGTGTGTTCCTGGTCAGAATGATTGGTAATGGTAGCCAAGTACCATGTAGTTCTGGTCTCAGGATAGATGAGTCTGTGGTTTGTGTAGGCTATTAGTCTTATACACTAGTTGTTTTTTTTTGTTGTTGTTGTTTGAAGTTTTAGTTTTCTTCTTTCTCTTTTACTCTAGATGAATACAGATTAATATCTGTATCTTAAGTGGCCACGTGCAATGTTTTAAACATTTTATTCCATACTACTCCCCATCTTCCCCTACCCAACATGGGTAGTCTGTTAGTCTCTTGAATACAGGACTTATGTCTTAATCACTTTTTTATGTTAGTGCCTGGCATATGGTTGGTCTTAGAAAATGTATACTGATTATTTATAGGCAACTGATGAGGAGGGTGGATGAGAAGGTGGGTAACTAGTTAGAAAAGTTCCCTTAGAAGTTACTAGTTATCTTCCCCATACAGTTTTTCCTTTGTTAAGAGAAAAACTCCCAGATATAGGCAAACAGAATCTCCATGCCCAAAAGTGCCCAGAAATATAGCAAAGCATCTTACTCTGACACCCTTCTTTTCCCCCCCTTTTCTCTGGATATAGAAGGAGCTTCAGGAGCAAGGGGAGATCAGAGTCATCCAGCTGGGCTTTGACTTGGATGCCCATGGGATTATCTTCACTGAGGACTACAGGACCAAAGTGCGTGTGACTGTGTGTGCATGTCTAGGGGCAGGGGGACAAGGAAATTAGGAGGGGGTACAGGGCTTTGGTAAGTAATGGTATGGGAAGGGGGAGAGAGGAGGAGGGGGAGGAAGATGTGAGAGATGGAAGGACATGAGCAATAGGGGAAAAGGTAGGAAGAACAATGTTGTCCTGGGGGTGGAGGTTGGTCAAGACTGAGATGGAACCAGGCCATGTCTCTTGTCTCTGGTTCCAGGTCCTCAAGGCCTGTGATGGCCGACCATATGCTGGAGCCGTGCAGAAGTTTCTTGCTTCGGTGCTTCCAGCCTGTGGAGACCTTAGCTTCCAGCAGGACCAGATGATACAGACCTTTGGCTTTAGGGACCCAGAGATCACGTGAGACTTGGGGGGAAAAACAGACTCAGGCATCTGACCCTGCCTCTTGATCCCATCCAGCCTTATCTTCTTCCTTCTAATGAAGCTGCCAAAAATCCTGATGCTTCTTTTTAGTGAAGTGACCTAGGTTTGTACTCTTCTAACCGAGAGAGGAGGCCTCTCTTACCTGGGGCCTTGGAAAAAGCCCTGAACTAGAATTCAAGAGATCTGGATGTCTAATCCGGTGCATACAGGGGCCTGGCAGGAGCCATAAATGCCTGGGACTGAGGATAGATGATGGAAACCAGAAGAAGGATAAATAGAAATACAATTTTGGGAGGCTGTATCTGGCTTATGCTTCCTATTTTGTAACCACTGGCGTATATGAAAACATTTTATAAATTGTAAAGTACTGATTTCACGTGGGGAAACAGATCTGCAATTGGATACTTTAAGTGAGATGTAGTAGGAGCCACGGTGAGGTGTACATATGCAAAAACGGCAAGGAGGCCACATGCTCTGACCTCCTCTAATCTCACAAGGGGAAGACAGGGTTACCAGCAGTAACCCCAGGCCTATTACTGCCAGGCCAGACATGTTGCCTCCCTCCAGCCCTTTCTCCAACCATTCCTCCCAAAGCACCCACCACCTCTCTCCTGGGTTCGATAATTCGCTGCAGTGGCCACACAGAACTCACAGATTACAGGGTTTATTAGGGAAGCACCAGGTTACAACTCAAGTTCAGGCAGAACGCTCAGTCTCTCTCCCAGCCCACCGTCCCTCAGCCAACAGTCTCTCACAGTGTCTTTCCCAGCAGTGCTGGTCCCTTGGTGTCTCACTCAGCAATGTGTGTCTCTTGCATCTCTTTCCCAGCAGTACGTGTCTCTTTCAGGGGCGCGTGTCTCTTTCGGCAGCACGTCTTCCTCAACCAGCAGTCAGAGAACGTTCTGCCTCCAGGAGGCCTCCTTTTGAGCCCGGAAGGGTGGTCAAACTAGCCAATCACAGCATCAGAACTCTAAGCACGTGAGAGAGAGTGGGCACCTCCCAGAACATTGTTTTGTGCCACGCCCAACAGAAATAACCCAGGTGGATAGCTTCAGCAATCAGGAGCTCCTCAGTTGCTCATAGAAAATCCCACCTTGGAATTTACAAAGACTCATGGGTAGAAAAGCCACACTAAGTAATTTACTACACTGCAACATGGCAGAGCACAGAAGAAAGACCCTGACAAAGAAGGCCTCCCCTGGGAGTGGGAGTGAGTGTGTGTTAGAGTAGTCATCAGGGTGGGCTTCCAGGAGGAGAAACTATTTAATGAACAAGTAATAGTGACAGGAAAAAGGAAAAGAAAGGGTGGAGGGAGAGCAGTCCAGGCAGCGGGAGTGGAACAAGCAAAGGCACAGAGGCAGTGAACAGCATGGTGTGAGGGGAGAGCTGCCTCAAATGAGGGTTTTGTTATCCATGCCCTTTTGCTTGATTGTCCTTGTTTCTGGAACATGTTGTTGTTATGTGCCGTCGAGTCGGCCCCAACTCATAGCAACCCCTCCTTGGGTTGCTGAGGCAGTATCACTACAGAAGTAGATTACCCAACCTTCCTTCTGAGGAGTGGCTGGTGGGTTTGAACTGCCAGCCTTCTGGTTAGCAGTCAAGTGCCTTAGGCACTACGCAACCTTAGTTTTCAGTATTAATGAGTAGGAAGGAAAGATGGTTCTCAAAGCCAAGGCCTTATCTCTCGTGGCTTCTCACTCCCCTTAGGCAGCTGATGAATGCTGGAGTCCTCACTGTTCGTGATGCTGGGAGCTGGTGGCTAGCAGTGCCTGGAGCTGGGAAGTTCATCAAGTATTTTGTTAAAGGTAGCCCTAGATTGCAGTTCAAGCCCTCAACCCCTCAAGAACACATTTTTGGTGGCTCCTCAAGCCTCCAGGCTCTATTCACCTTTGCTGTCTTCTATGCCACCTCTCCTCCAGGACGCCAGGCTGTCCTTGGCATGGTCCGGAAGGCCAAGTACCGGGAGCTACTTCTGTCAGAGCTCCTAGGCCGGCGGGCACCTGCTGCAGTGCGGCTCGGCCTCTCCTACCATGTGCACGACCTCATTGGGTCCCAGCTGGTGGACTGGTGAGTCTTGCCCCCCAACCCCTGGCCTGAAGACAAAGAGCAATGACCCAAAGTTGGATTTCCTCACTACTCATGCTTAAGCCACTAAACAAGCCCAGCTCCTCTCTCATTCTTCTTCTGAAGCCCAGGAATGTTCCCTGCCAGGTTCTGAATTCTCCCCTAAGCTTAAGCCTAGATATCTGACTCCAGCCTTGTCTTTCTCCTGCACAGTATCTCCACCACTTCTGGAACCCTCCTCCGCCTGCCAGAGACTTGAGGATTCTGCTCATCATTCCACACCTCCTCAGAGTGCACAAGAGGGGCCCAGGAATGCAGCCCGTGGTGGCTAAGACAGGGTCACCTTGGGAAGGCTCGGGAGCTGGATTGAGTGTTAGGCCCATGTTTGTGCAAAGGGTCAGATGTGACTGCTGTTGTTTACTTGGGCTCTGACCCAGTGGGTGGGGTTTAGATAACACTTCTCTGCCCTTCCATGGAAGAAGAGCCAGAAACTGTGCCAAGGCTGTGGCTGCTGTCTTTCATATAAGAAAGTGCTGATGTTAACTTTTTCTTGAGAAAGGAAGGTGGGATTTCTGGGGAGGCTGGTGAAGGACGGCAGGATTCTCTCCCTCACACTGGTGCTGAAACTGCCAAATAAAGTATTCTGCCTGTGAGGTTTTCTGGTTGTCCTTTGTTTAATGTAATATGTGTGTTTGGGATCTCATTTGCTGGTAGAGGTAAAGCCAAGTTTAGGCTTGAGCTTAGCCTCATTGTTGAGAGAGAAGGGTTAACTTTGACATTCAGGTTGGTTCTCCCTGGTGTGCAGTGAGGGTGTGCCCAGTCAAAACCATGGAATTTCTGTTAGGACCTGTTGTTGTTGTTATGTGCCATCGAGTTGGACCCGACTCATAGCGACCCCTCCTTGGATTTCCGAGGCAGTATCACTACGGAAGTAGATTGCCCCATCTTACTTCCAAGGAGTGGCTGGTGGATTTGAACCACCTTTCTGGTTAGCAGTCAAGTGTCTTAGGCACTACGCTACCAGAACTCCCCAGTTAGGACCTACAGCAAGCAAAAGCCTAGTGTAGTTCAGCTTCTGTAGGGGTGAAGCCAAGAGACAAGTGTCTTATATGCCCATTGTTTCATTAGACCTTCCATCTCCTGCACATCTGAGTTACACACATACACACACATGCACACAGATATACTCAATGTGGGGAAGTGCCCAGGAAATGGAATGAGAGGGGTTAATGGGGAAAGACAGGGTCTACCTCTGGGCCAAAATTTCCTTAGAGACCCAGGCGTTCGAGCTGCCTCCCTAACACTGGGCTTGAGGCCAATTGCATTTCTTGGCTATCACGTGGTTTCCCAGCTCAGTTGGGCCGGGGGAGGAGCAAGGTCCAGAGTTGACTCAATCTAGTCCCCAAGCCCTAGATTGACCAGAAGGGAGCAGACGGACAGCCAGATCTGACCCCTCGTGGATCCTCCAGCCATGAGGTTCCTCTGGGGGCTGATCTGGATCTTCAGCTTCTTCACCTTGTCTCTGCAGAAGCCTAGGTCTCAGAGGCAAAATGTTGGGCCCTTGCGTGGGGACAGGGCTGGCAATGGGCTGAGGTTCGGGACTCAGGAGCTGGGAGCACAGGCTGGAGGCTGAGCATAAAGTCCAGCTGCTAACCCTCCTGTGTTCTCCCCAGGTTGCTCCTGTTTTCTCCTTCTGTGGTTCACCTGGGGGTCCCCCTGTCGGTGGGGCTGAAGCTCCAGGATGTCCCCCGAGGCCAGGAAGTGAGAGGCTCAGTGTACCTGAGAAACCCAAAAAACATTAATGTCCCCTGCTCCCCAAAGGTGGACTTCACCCTCAACTCAGAAAAAGACTTCACACTCCTCAGCCTCCAGGTAACTGGGTCCCATGTTTCCCTTTGCTGCTTCCTGGGATTTCCCACCCTGTTCCCCTGTGTCTTCTTAAAAAAAGTCTTTGTCTTTCCTCACTGCCTCCCTCCCCTCCTGTCCTCCCACCCCAACTGGTCTTCCAGGTTTCTCTCTGTCTCAGTATCTCTGTCCTCTCGCTGTCCTGACAGATCCGCCTGGAAGATGCCGAAAGCTGTGGCCTCGGTCGCCTCCTCAGAGGCCCTGAGGTACAGCTTGTAGCCAGTTCACCATGGCTGAAGACCTATCTATCCAAAGATATAGACATTCAGGGCGTCAACCTGCTCTTCTCCTCTCGCCGGGGGCACCTCTTTCTGCAGACTGACCAGCCCATTTATAACCCTGGACAGCGGGGTGAGTTGTGAGCTCATATTTAACTCCCTCCCAGCCTGCTCAAGACACATGTGGTACCCCCTAAGTGAGACAACCCCAAAGAAAGGGCCTGCCATGCGGGAGGGTACTTTAAGTAAATATATGGCCCCTTCACTCTCACTCCTGGAAGGGGAGAATCAGGGCCTACCCTCCCTTTGCACCTGGGCTCCTCCTCACCTCTCACCTCCCCCACTTCCCAGTCCGGTACCGGGTCTTTGCACTGGATCAAAAGATGCGCCCATCCACTGACACCCTCACGGTCACTGTGGAGGTGAGTCTCCAACCACTGACCTCCTGATCCCGGTCATTGATCTGACCCCCACCCCTCTACCCTTCCGTGACCATTTTTCCTCCCTCTGCAGAATTCTCAGGGCCTCCGTGTGTGGAAGAAGGAGGTGTTCTCTCCATTGTCCATCTTCCAGGGTGATTTTTTGATCCCAGACATCTCAGAGTGAGTGCTCCCCCTCCTGAGACTACCCCCAGCTACACCACCCAGTTCCTGCTTCCTCCTTCTGTTTCCTCCGACATACAAAGAGCACAATCCTGAGCCTCTGGTGTGCCCCGCAATCCTCTTCCTAGGTGGCCTGGCCACTGGCTCTCCTTGGCCCCTTGGCCCAGGTAGGTTGAGTCCCCTCTGTGTTTGTCCTCAGGCCAGGGACTTGGAAGATCTCAGCCCGATTCTCAAATGCCCCACAATCCAACAGCAGCACCCAGTTTGAGGTGAAGAAATATGGTGAGAGCTGGAGGCACAAGGGTCAGGCAACTTCTTTTCTGAAGGACGTACGAGGTGGGAGGAGAGGGCTTGGGAGCCAGGTAGAGCCAGGGAGACATGGTGCTTCATCCTGAAAGGGAAGGGGAGTCTTTGAAGGGTTCTTTGACAAGAGTCTGACTTCTCCCTTCACCCTGGGTCAGTTCTTCCCAACTTTGAGGTGAAGATCATCCCTGGAAAGCCTTACATCCTGACAGTGCCTGGCTTTCTCGCTGAAATCCAGTTAGACATCCAGGCCAGGTAACTGCCCTCTACCCCATGCATGCCCTGCCCAAGGTCCCCATTCAGGGTGAACATGCTGGGGAGCCCTGCCTTCCCTTTGGCCTGCCTCTCCCTCCCTCCTAGTCCATTTCATTTATGGTCTCTAGCCCTCAGCCCACCCTCTACGTGTTCTCTCCATGGCCACAGGTACATCTACGGGAAGCCAGTGCAGGGGGTGGCTTATGTGCGCTTTGGGCTCCTGGGTGAAGGTGGTGAGAAGAAGTTCCTTAAGGGGCTGGAGAATCAGACCAAGGTGGGAATGGGGCTTGTGGAAAAGTGGGGGTGTGAGGGAGGGAAAGGGAGTGAGGTCAGAGATGCAAGTCTTACCCTATGTCCTGTTTCCTCTCTGCCTTAGCTGGTAGATGGCCAAACTCACATTTCCCTCTCAGAGGCTGCGGTCCAGGAAGCCCTGGCAAAGCTTAATGTCAAAGTCACTGACCTTCTGGGGCTGCGTCTCTATGTTGCAGCAGCCATCATTGAATCTCCAGGTGAGTGGCTTCCCCCTGTCTTAGCCCTAGTCCAAGCCTCTGAACTCTGAGCTGAGCCTACATTGTTTGACCTTCTTGGACCCAAACCAGGAAAGACTCAGGAAGCTTTGTCTCCTTCCAGCTCTGTCTGTGGGTAATCCTGTCCCTTCTCGTCTCAGTGTTTATTACTTTTTTCGCTCATTCATTCATTCATTTTTAAATTCATTAATTTAACAGATATATGATAGACACCATCTGAATGCTAGGGCCTGTTGTTGTGTGTTATCAAGTTGATTTTGACTCATAGCAACCCCATGTGACAAAAGTAGAGTCACCCCATAGACTCCTAGGCTGTAATCTTTACAGAAGCAGATTACCAGGTCTTTCTCCCACAGAGCAGCTGTATGGGTTCGAACCACTGACCTTTGGGTTAGCTGCCAAACACTTAACCGTTGCACCACCTAAGAGCCTGTATTGGACCTTGAAAAACATGAAGATGAATACAACTGCCCATGCTCCTGAGGGGTTCACCGTCTCCACCCCTCATGATCCTGTCCTTTTCCCGGGACTCTGTCTGTTCTGGTTACCTAGTGCCACTCTGACAAGAATATACCACAAATGGGATGGCTTTAACACACAGGAGTTTATTCTCTTACAGTTTGGAGGCTTTAAGTCCAAGTTCAAAGCACCAGGCTCTAGGGGCTAGGTGAAAGCTCCTCAGCCTTGGGCTTCAGCTCTGCCTCCAGCTCCCAGCCCACTGAAGCTAGAGGCTTTTCTTCACTCAAGACAGCTGCTGGCTGCTGAGACTGACAAACCCAAGGTTGACAAGGGAAAAGGCACAGTCCTAGTGTTACCAAACCACACGGCAGGCCATTAATTCAAGTCCATTGTTAGTCCCCAGTTTGGCAGAGCATGGCAGGCTGCTGAACAATGACACAGCTACACGCAGGGTCCACATGAGTCATAGGTTAGAGACTGTCCCCAAGACTTCTCCTTATGTACAGGAAGTAGACCACATCCCAAAGACAGCTACTCAGCTGCTTGTGGTAGATCTCACAATGGAATCGATTGCCAGTCTCATCATGGGGAATAACTGCCACCAGCTGCCCAGCCACTCAACCAGGCACAGCCAAGCTGACATACAAATTTAACCATCACACTGTCCTCTACCTTTCTGTCCCCATGTCTTGCAGGCGGGGAGCTGGAGGAGGCAGAGCTCACATCCTGGCGTTTTGTGTCATCTCCCTTCATTTTGGATCTCAGCAATACCAAGCGCCATCTTGTGCCGGGGGCCCCCTTTTTGCTGCAGGTTTTTCCTGGAGGGGAAGGATGAGAGTGTGTGTGTGGTGGGGGGCAAGGGATTATTAGAGGGCAGAATGTTGGGAAGACAGAATGAGGTCCCCTTGCTCTCTGTTGCCTCCCTTCTCAATGACCTCTTTTTTTTTTTTTTTTTCCTTGTGATTTGGGTGAAAATTTACAGAACAAATTCACTTTCCATGCAGCAGTTTACGTACACATTGTCTCATGACATTGACCACAATTCACCACAATGCAACAGCTCCCCTCCCACTTCCTCCCTATAGTTACCTCCATGCACTCCTGCCCCCGAGCTGTCTCCCTGTGCATAAACATCCCTTCTTTCTCCCATGATTGTTCTCTCCAAGGAGTGTATCTACCTCAGGTAAATGTTCAACTCATTTGCCTGTCTTTTGTTTGGCTGGAAGCCACAGGTGTGGGTTCAATTCCAGACCTGAAGGGCAGCTAGGGACCATAATCTCAGTGGTTCCCCCAGGCTCTATCAGACCAGCAAACCTGGCCCCCCCCCCACCTTTTTTTTTTTCAAATGATTTTGAGTTTTGTTCCACATTGTTCTCCCTCTCTATCCAGGATCTCCTACATAGATCCACCTTTGAGTGGTTGACAGTGGTAGCCAGGCACCATCTAGTCCTTCTGGTCTCATAGTTGTATAGGCTGTGGATCACATGGTATACCAGTCACTAGGACTAATTGTTTCCATGAATCTTTGGTTTTCTTCATTCTTCTTCGCTCTGGACGAGGAGAGACCCATCGTTACATCTAGATGGCTGCTTGCAAGCTTTTAAGATCCCAGTTGCTACTCACCAAAGTAGGAGGTGGAACAATGTTTTGTGTAGTATGTTATGCCAGTTGAGCTTGATGTCCCCTGTGACTGTGGTCCCAAGCCCACAGGTTCAACTACTCAGTCCCTCTGGGTAGCTGGCTGTGACCAAGAAGTGGCTACAACCTTGCCTCTTGTCAGCTCTACTATACACCTGGGAATTCAGATGATACAAATACACTTATATGGCCGTTGTCTGTCAACTCTGTACATGGTCTTGGGTATACTCCCTGCTTCATAGACATACCTAATAGTTCAGCCTGTCAATGACCTCTTTTTGACTTCCTCTCCCCACCCATGTAGGCTCAGGTCCGTGACATGTTGGGCTCCCCAGCTGCTGACATTCCTGTCAAAGTTTCTGCCAAGTTGTCTTCTCCTGGGTCTGCTGCTAATATCCAGGACTTTCAGCAGAACACAGATGGAAGTGGCCAAGCCAGTATTCACATCAATATTCCTCAGACCACCCAAGAACTGCAGATCTCAGTGAGATTTCCCCACCCAGCTCTTCTTCCCCATGGAAGAGGATGGGGCAGGGAAGGAGGGGGATCTGGGTACCTGGGGATCCATGTCACAGAGAGGAGAGAGCTGGGCACTGGGTCCTTGTCACTAACCCTGCACCTGTCTGCCACCTTTTTCCAGGTATCTGCAGGCTCCCCCTATCCAGATACGGCCAGGCTTACTGTGACAGCCCCACCCTCACATGGCTCCGGGTTTCTGTCTATTGAGCGCCTGAAGCTGCAGCCCCCTCAAGTTGGGGACACTTTCAACCTAAACCTGAGAGCCGTGGGCATCAGTGGGGCTACCTTCTCTCATTACTACTACATGGTGTGCACAAGAGGGGAGGGAGGAAGGCTGGGCTGCAGGGAGGGTCTCTGGCAGGAAAGAGCCCTGGTGGGGAGGTTACAGGGATGGGGACTGCAATGGAGAGAAGACCATTCTTGGCTCAGATCCTGTCCCGGGGTGAGATTGTGTCCCTGAACCGAGAGCCCAGGATGACCTTGACCTCAGTCTCCGTGTTTGTGGACCATCGCCTGGCACCCTTCTTCCACTTTGTGGCCTTCTACTACCACAAGGGTGTCCTCATTGCCAACTCCCTGCGAGTGGATGTCCAGTCTGGGGCCTGTGAGGGCAAGGTAATGGGAGAGTTGGGGTATGTGTGTCAAGAAAGTGTCTCAGTTTCCTGCTACTTTTTAATTTTTTTGCTTTGGGTGCAAATTTACAAAGTGGATTTGTATTACATTCAATGGTTCATGAACTGTTGATTTCATAGCCCCATAACCATCCCCAACCATAAAAAACTCTCCTCCCCGTGACTCTCCCCATCCCCACCCCACCCTTCTTATCTATGCAGTCCTATCTGTCCAGCTTTTCCTCTATATGAATGCTGCCCCTCTGGTTTCTCATGGCTGATTGATCTAAGGGGAGCATCTTCCTAGAGTAGGAAGGTGCATAGCCCTGGGGTAGGTGTTCTACATGTAGGTCTTTCTACTGTTGGCCTGAGAACCAGTCCATGGAAGTGAGTCCATTTCTGGGCCCAAAGGGTAACCCAAGGCCATAGTCCAGGCATTCCACCAGTCTCTGTTTAACCAGTAATTCTGGTCATTTTTGTGTTTTTGAGTTTTGTTCCATGTTTCCTAGTACTTCCGTAACAGATATACCACAAATCATGCCTTTAAAGAACAGAAATTAATTTTCTAAGGGTGTCAGCTCTCTCTGTCCACTCTGGGAGAAAAAACCTTGTTACAGCTACTCTGGCCTCGGCATGCCTCGGTTCCTCGGCAATCTCCACATGGCGTCTCTCTTTCCGCGGTTTGGGCTTGTCTGTCTCTCTGTGCTGCTTCTTATAACTCAGGGAGATATCACCCTACACTGATATTACCTCATTAATGTGCAAAGAAAACCCTATTCCCAACTGGGATACATCCAAAGGTAGAGGGGTTAGGATTCCAACACATATTTTGAGGGGGGCACAATTTAACCCCTAATGGTGCTATAAGAGAAAGGGGACAGGTAATTACAGGGCATGGGTTTCGTTTGGGGTACACTGAGGATGCAAGGGATGGAAAGCAGCTCTCTCTACTCTGACTACCCCACCCCACTTCACCTCACCAGCTGGAGCTGAATGTGGACGGTGCCAAGGAGTATCATCCTGGGGAGTCTGTCAAGTTCCACCTGCAAACAGATTCCCCGGCCCTGGTGGCGCTGGGAGCTGTGGACACAGCTCTATACGCTGTGAGCAGCAGTTCCCACAAACCTCTCAACATGGGCAAGGTGTGTCTAAACTCTCCCCAGTTCTCTCCCCTGGGTACTTCATTTCCCACACTGCCCTGTGCTCTGAGTCTGAGCCAACTCTCCAGATCTCTCCAGCTCCCCACAGTTTCCTCCCAGTCATCCCGCAAACCCCGGGCCTCCTCTACAGCTTCCATTGACCCCTCAGCCTCTTGGCCCACTCTCTGTACCCCTTTCATGTTTGTTCATATCCCACCACCCTCTCACCTACTGCCCAGTCCTGCCCCTTGGTCACTTCTGTCTCTTTTCTTGCTAGGTCTTTGAAGTTATGAGCAGCTATGACCTTGGCTGTGGCCCTGGCGGGGGGAACACTGCCCTTCAGGTTTTTGAGGCAGCGGGCCTGGCCTTTTCTGATGGAGAGTACTTGACCTCAGCCAGAAAGAGTGAGAAGCAGAGAAAGTGGTGTGGGTGAAGGATAAGAAAGGAGGTTGGGCCTGAGGGGTTAATACAGGAGGGGCAGAAGTGAGAACGGGTGGGCAGGGCAGGAATGCATGGAGGGGAGTGGCATGTGGAAGGCCATATACCCTATGGCTTGGCTGCAGTCTTGCTCTCTGCCAGGTCTGAGCTGCCCCAAGGAAAAAACCCGGAAAAAGAGAAACATGAACTTCCAAAAGGCCTTTGTTGAAAAGTGTGAGTTGTGGGTGCCTAAGAGGCAACTTAAGCTTTTCACTTGTAGCCAGGGTTGTAATTGGGGCCAGAGATCCAAACTCTGAGGTTGAGGGTGGACCAGCAGGTGGCTCTGTCCCCTGGCCTTTCTTGAATTCCTGCTCTCTCAGGGGTCAGTCCAGATGGATCCAGGGTCAGGCAGGGCATGAGGTGTGTCTCCTTCTTGCCCCCCATGCTGACCCTCAGCCCGGCCCTGCAGTGGGCCAGTATACTTCAACAACAGCCAAGCACTGCTGCCGTGATGGGCTGACCCGGCTGCCCATGGTGCGCTCCTGTGAGCAGCGGGCGGCCCGCGTGCTGGACCCAGCCTGCCAGGAGCCCTTCCTGTCTTGCTGCCAGTTTGCTGAGAACCTACGCAAGAAGGCCCGGGCCAGGGGCCAGGTGGGCCTTGCCCGAGGTGAGGGGCTGGGCAAGCTGGGGACAGCTGGGGTGCCTGGGAGGGTGGATGGTTCTGTCCTCACTCCCTTCCCCTGGTGCCCTAGCCATGCAGATGCTGCAGGAGGAGGAACTGATGGAGGAGGATGACATCCTTGTGCGCAGCTTCTTCCCTGAGAATTGGCTCTGGAGAGTGGAAAAAGTAGACCGCTCCAAGACGTGAGGGCATGGGGAACCTGGTGTTACCTCTTGGCCATGTGTGGAACCAGCCCTGGGTGTGATGGGCTTCTCTCTTTCTCATCAGATTCACACAATTTCTCCCTGATTCACTGACCACTTGGGAGATCCATGGCGTGAGCCTGTCCCAGAGCAAAGGTGATTTCGCCCCCTAACCCACATCCCTTCGACTCAGGCTCCTTGCTTAGCCCTTTGCTCTTAGTTAGGGAGGGGCGTCCAGAGAGGTGGGAAGTCTCTATCCAGCATCCACCTGGGCTGAGAAGCTAAAGATCAGCAGCCAGCTAGCTGCCAGCTGAGTACAGAGTTCTGGGCTACTCCCTGCCCCTCCCTCTTGGGACCCTGTGACTGTGATGCCCCTCAACCTCTGAGCTCCCACATGTCCTCCCGACAGGCCTGTGTGTGGCTACACCGGTCCAAGTGCAAGTGTTCCGTGACTTCCACGTGCATGTCCGCCTACCTACCTCCGTCCGCCGTTTTGAGCAGCTTGAGCTGCGACCTGTGCTCTACAACTACCTGGATAGAAACCTGACAGTGAGGGTCTATGGGCACCTGAGCACAGAGGGCTGGTGGGATGGGAGCCTGGGGGCAGGTGAGGGGTGGGCAGCCTACCCTTGCTGGGGCTCTGGCCATTCTCCCTGATTCTTCCTGTCCCCAGGTGAGTGTCCATGTGGCCCCAGTGGAAGGGCTGTGTCTGGCTGGCGGTGGAGGGCTAGCTCAGCAGGTGCTGGTGCCTGCCAGCTCTGCCCGGCCTGTGGCCTTCTCCATGGTGCCCACAGCGGCTGCCGCTGTGTCCTTGAAGGTGGTAGCTCGAGGGACCCTTGATTTCCCTGTGGGGGACGCAGTGTCTAAGATTCTACAAATTGAGGTAAATAGAGTACCCGTGACTACAGATCCCCAAGCTCCAAGATTTACCCAGTAGTACCCTGAATGCTGACCAGACCAAGGGCCCAACACCCAAACCCAATGTTTGATCCAGCTCTGTACCTGAAGTTCAAACTTAAAGTCTTAGGGAGTCCCATTTGTAGGGGGTAGGCTCTGAGTCCTGTGTCTCATGGCTGTATTTCTCCTGAGACAGAAGGAAGGGGCCATCTTCAGGGAGGAGATTGTCTATGAACTCAACCCCCTGGGTGAGTGACCCTTACCCCCAAGTCCCCTAACCACTAGCAGTTTCCTAAAAGGGTTGGGGTGGCTGAGGATATACACAGCATGGCTGACTGCCAACTCCCCCATCTCCCCAGACCACCGAGCCCGCACCTTGGAAATTCCTGGCAACTCTGATCCCAATGTTATCCCTGAAGGAGATTTCAGCAGCTTTGTCAGAGTCACAGGTAGGAGTGTCCTCCAATCCTTTCCCAGGGCTACCCTCAGATTCACGCGAAACCTGTGGAACCTCTGTTTGTTCCCACAGCCCTCGGGCCTTGCGTCCCCAGTCCTACTACTGTCTGATCCTCACCTTCTTCTCCTTCTAGCCTCAGATCCATTGGACACTTTGGGCTCTGGGGGGGCCTTGTCCCCAGGAGGCCTGACCTCCCTACTGAGGCTGCCACAGGGCTGTGGGGAGCAAACCATGACCCTCTTGGCTCCCACACTGGCTGCTTCCCGCTACCTGGATAAGACAGAGCAGTGGAGCATGCTGCCCCCCGAGACGAAGGACCGTGCCGTGGATCTGATCCAGAAAGGTTCTGAGTGGGGGGCAAGCAGGAGTTGGGGGTAGGGGGCAACTGATGGAAGACAGGAGGCCCGGGAGGCTGGAGAAGGGAAGAAGGGGCCACCTGGTAGGAATGGGGAGCACATTCTCGGGTCCAGATCACAGGACAGTGGGTTCACCTCAGCAGTTGCCTCTCCTCTCCAGGCTACATGCGGATCCAGCAGTTCCGGAAATCAGATGGTTCCTACGGGGCTTGGTTACACAGGGACAGCAGCACCTGGTGAGGCTGGAAGAGTGGTTTAGAGATCTGGTAGTAGCGGAGCCAGGTCCAATGGGATGAGAGAACAACTAAGTGCCTGGGGGAGCAGGGACATGCCCCCTCCAGAGACCAGTTCCTGTCATCACCATCCCTCCCCCATAGGCTCACAGCCTTTGTGTTGAAGGTACTGAGTTTGGCCCAGGAGCAGGTGGGCGGCTCACCTGACAAGCTGCAAGAGACGGCCAGGTGGCTGCTGTCCCAGCAGCAGGCTGACGGTTCCTTCCGAGACTCCTGTCCTGTGATTCACAGGGGCATGCAGGTGCGTGGTGGGAAGGCAGGGCTGAGATGCTCTCATGGGGCACATTCTTGGCCCTCCCCCACTGACATCTTTCTTCCTTCCTTTAGGGGGGCTTGGTGGGGGAAGATGAGACCGTGGCACTCACAGCCTTCGTGGTCATTGCCCTTCACCACGGGCTGACCAACTTCCAGGACAACAGTGCTGAGGCATTGAAACAAACAGTGGTAAGGACACCAATGCCCGCCCCCTCACTGCTCCCCAGTCCTTCTCCACACCCTTTTTCCTCAGGAACGCAGGTGTCCAGCCCCCAGGCCTCCTTCCTCCCTTTCTTCTTCTAGGTAAATTCCATTTCAAATGCAAACTCATTCTTGGGGAGGCAAGCAAGTTCCGGGCTCCTAGGGGTCCATGCAGCCGCCATCACAGCCTATGCCCTGACGCTGTCTGGGGCCCCCAAAGACCTGAAGGTTGTGGCCCACAACAATCTCATGGCCATGGCCCAGGAGATTGGTGGTGAGCACCAAGAGGTCCTGGCAGTGAGCCTGGGGCTTGGGGGACATTGGGACCCTTGGATGTCCCCAAAAGGAGAGGTGGAATGAAGAGTCTGAAAAGGAATTCAAAACATGGGCAAGGATGATTGGGGTAAAACCAAGAGAACCTGTGGGTGACAAGGGTGCCCTGTGACTTCCCCTCCATCTGCCTGTGTTTCCGTTCACTGCAGATAACCTGTATTGGGGCACACTTGCTGGGTCTCCAAACAACGTCGTGTCACCCACCCCGGCTCCTCGCAGCCCATCAGACCCCATGCCCCAGGCCCCGGCCCTGTGGATTGAAACCACAGCCTACGGCCTGCTGCACCTGCTGCTTTGGGAAGGAAGGGCCGAGATGGCCAACCAGGCTGCAGCCTGGCTCACCCACCAGGGCAGCTTCCAGGGGGGATTCCGCAGCACCCAGGTAGGGGCTGCCCCAGTGGCTTGCGGGGGTTAGTCCTGAAACTGAGCACTAAGTCTTGACCCTCCCCTACCTTGACCTCAGGACACGGTCATCGCCCTGGAAGCCCTGTCTGAATACTGGATTGTCTCCCACACCACCGAGGAGAATGTGCTCAACGTGACTCTGAGCTCCACTGGCCGCAGTGGTTTCAAGATCCATGCGTTCCATCTGAACAGTCACCAAATCCAGGGCCTGGAGGAGGAGCTGCAGGTGACCCACTCCCTTTCTTGAATTGCCACCACAGCTGGGTCCGTGGTGGCCCACCAGAAGCCATCCCTGCTCTGCCACCCTGCAGACTCCCCACGGCCCCCTTTTTCCTGAGATCCTTGCCTGTCGTGTGACTCACCCCTGAGCTTTATTTTTTTCAGCTGCAAAACAAGGTCTTCAGGGTCTACCCAGCAGAGTTTTAAGAGGCTGAGATGAGATCATGCACCTGGAGGTGTAAACCAAGTGAAATACGACGTGGGGAGAGGAAAGGGTGTAGTTTAGGGAGGAGATAAGTTGGAGCAACGAGCAGGTTTCTCTGGGCCCTCTAACATCTCTTTCCCTTTTCTATTCCTGAAAGTTTTCCTTGGGCAGCAAGATTAATGTAAAGGTGGAAGGAAACAGCAAAGGAACCCTGAAGGTGAGAGCATAGCAGTGGGCATCTGTGCCCCAGAAAGGAGAGGGTGGGCAGGGGAGGGCAGGCTGAGACAGGGTCTTGAGGAAGAACTGTGTCCAGAGCTCAGTGGTAGGGAAGGAGGAAGACACCAGGGTCCATGTTGTCCATGCTTCCATCCTGGGCATTTCCCTCTTCATTCTGTTCTTGACCATCTCTGGACAGGTGTCATGTTCATTACCCCCCAGTGCTGATGGTTCTCGTACCCAGACCCTCAGCGTAGGCCCCTCCCAGAGCCATAGGCCCCGTATGTACCACAGCACCTCAGACACAGTGCCTTCTTCCTCCTGTGTCCCCTATTCTGGCTGATGGGAGCCCTTTCCACCAGGTACCCAGCCACCCCTGTGGAAGCCTCCCTCTTCTAAGCCCCTCCTTATTGTCCCAGTCCCTCTTCCGCTGCTCCCTTCCTGCCCACAGCCCTGTCACTGTGTCCTAGACTCTGCTAAGGCAGTCCTGTATCTTCTCCCTGCTTCTAGTCTCACCTATTATGATCCATGTTCTCACCATAGTGAGACTGATCTGAAAACACAAGTCAGATTTGCCTTGGGGCCAAGTCAAACCTCTCCTGAGGCTCACGTGATTAGACCCCTGTCTGCCTCTCAGCCAGCAAGACCCACTCATCTGCACGGAACCTGTCTTGGACACCATTCCACTGGTTCTCACCCCTTGGGATGAGATCATCCTTACCCTGCAAGCCTCCTCTGGGCACGCTGTGGCTTTTCATCTCTCTGCCCTTCTGTCTTACCCAATGCCAGTGCTGGATTTGGTGCCTATTCATTTAGACTGTTCAGTGAAGAGGCTAAGAGGGACTGGAGGCCTCAAATCTCAGCCCAGACAGATGCCCTTAGCTGTGGCTCAGAGAGAGGTCTGTGGCCCCAGATGTCCTGTGTCTTCTCCCTGCCCCCTTGCTGATCCAGATCCTTCGTATGTACAACGTCCTGGACATGAAGAACACGACCTGCCAGGATCTTCATATTGAAGTGACGGTCATGGGCTACGTTGAGTACACAAGTGAGTGTTGGGGTTAGGATGTCTTGGGGCCTCTAGGGGGCAGGTGCCAGGGACCAAGCCCTCCTGACCATGCCATTCCCGAGTAGTGGAAGCCAATGAGGACTATGAGGACTACGGAGATGATGAGCTTCCAGCTGGGGATGACCCAGATGCCCACTCCCGGCCTGTGACGCCCCTGCAGCTGTTTGAGGGACGGAGGAATCGCCGCCGGAGGGAGGCCCCCAAGGTGGTGGAGGAGCAGGAGTCCCGAGTGCAGTACACTGTGTGCATCTGGTGAGTGCCAGCTGCACGGGTGTGCGGGGGTGGCTTCTGGGCTGGGTGAAGGAAGGCAGCACCAGGCAGGCTCGGGTGTTCAGGGCCCCTGCAGCAGGTAGCGCATGGACACATCTCTCTGCAGGCGGAATGGCAAGTTGGGGCTCTTTGGCATGGCCATTGCAGACATCTCCCTCCTGAGTGGCTTCCACGCCCTACGGGCTGACCTGGAGAAGGTCGGTCAGCTGCCCAGTGGGACTCCCTGCCCTCAGCAGCCCTGCCTTATCCCCATAGCACCCGTAGAGGCTGTGCCTTTCTAGGTACACCTCTCTATCACTGTCTTCCCCTCCCCACAGCTGACCTCCCTCTCTGACCGTTATGTGAGTCACTTTGAGACTGAGGGACCCCACGTCCTGCTCTACTTTGACTCGGTGAGTAGGGAGAGGTGACACGAGGGAAGCAAGGGCCTACATTTACTGAAGAGATGTTGTATGGTTTCTTGGGAAACTGAGGTGTTGTCAGCCAGTGCTTTTTTTTTTTTTTTTTTAATTGTGATTGGGGTGAAGGTTTACAGAGCAAATTCACTTTCCATACAGCAGTTCATATACACTTTGTCTCATGACATTGACCACAGTTTACCACAATGCAACAGCAGCCAGTGCTCTTGAGGGCTTGTGATGTAAGCAACCAGACAACAGTGGACAGCAAGAGCCAGACAGCAGGCGGACACAGACCTTGCCGGAGGCAGGCGGAGTCCCTGACACAGGCTGGAATCCAATGCCAGTTCAGCAGGGAAGGAAAAGTCAGGGCTTTAGAGTGAGTCTTCACAAGGCTGATTTTATTCCACTTTAGAGGTCCCTTGGGGCAAATGGGTTTGCTCTGGATTACAAACCTCAAGGTTGGTGGTTTGAAACCACCTAGTGCCTCCACAGAAGAAAGGCCTAGAGATCTGATTCCATAGTTTACAGCCAAGAGCACCTTGTCAGAATCGACTCCATGGCAATGGGTTTGGCTTGGTTTTGTTTTTTTGCTGAGATTATGGCCTTCCTAGTTTGTTTGGTAGCATAGTGGCTAAGGCACTTGACTGCTAACCAGAAGTCTGGCAGTTCAAACCCACCAGCCACTCCTCGGAAGGAAGGTTGGGCATTCCTACTTCCGTAGTGATACTGCCTCAGAAACCCAAGGAGGGGTCGCTATGAGTCGGAGCTGACTCGATGGCAAACAACAACAACAGTTTGTTTGGTTATTTTAATGACTGTTGTAATTTATTTTGTAATTTTTTAAATATTTTTCTTCAAAATTAGTTTTTATTCTTAAGTAATACATGTACATCAAATAGAACCAAAGACTTAAAAAGGATAGCAGTTCTTTGTTGTCTTGTGGCTTTGACATTAAAATATATTTTCTTTTATGAAGTGATGGTGGTCATAGATGACAGTTGTTTTTGCCTTTTCGTTGCCTTACTTGGCTCAAACAAAGAACTACAACCCTTCAATGGCCCTTGAAAATTAATGTGAACATTTACCTGTTGAAGAACATGTGAGAAAGGTGTGCTGAAAACATTACCCAGGTGTTTGTAGGCCAGGGAAGACTCCTACCCAGTGTAGGCAGGAGGGACTGGCCCCATTAGCCCAAGAAGCCTGGCTGAGGAATCTGGGATGAACATAGTAGAAAAATTTGGAGCCAGGAAGATTTCTGGGTAGGAGGTTGATGATACGGCTTCCCTGGGGTGAGACAGGACCTGTGTGGATGTGTGGAGAGGGTCCAGGAGAATAGGCAGAGTGGAATCATCTGGTGTTAGGTCACAGCAGATAGGGGAGGCCCCAGCCATCTCAAAGTATCAGTGACAAGACAAGGCCGTCAGCAAGGTGAGCAGGTTTGGGGGGAAGGAAGAGTAGATTTAATGAATTTATTGGTCCTGCCCAAATCCTAATGATATCATAAAGCTGGAAGTTCAGTTTGGGACTCATCAGCCTGGAAAGGTTTGGGAACAGCCAGGGAGTGGTCGAGCTCTTCACAGGGAAGAGCAGAGGAAGAGAAGAGCTGAGGTGGGCACCATGCCTCTGGTAGGGAAGAAGGGAATGTAAGAAACGATTAGGTCAGAACCAAGGATGGCCTAGAAGCTAAGAGAAGGTCAAATTTCATGGAGAAAGCATCCATGATCACAACTCTGCCCTGGGTCAGGGCACACTGAAGACTGGGAGAAGGCCACCAACTGGACATGAAGTCATCACAGATCTTGGAAGCAGATCTTAGAGTTCTAGTGGCAGGATGGCAACAGACTGTGAAGGACCCTGGAGATAAGTCCAATAGGAACAAGTCAAGAAAATGTGGCCAGTGGCCTACCAGGCTCAGAGAGTGCGTCCTGACCCCTCTCCCCCATACTGGCCAGGTCCCCACCTCGAAGGAGTGTGTGGGCTTTGGAGCCGTGCAGGAGGTGGCCGTGGGACTGGTGCAGCCAGCCAGTGCATCCCTGTATGACTACTACAACCCTGGTGAGCACTGGGGCACCCAGGAGGTGGGGCAGCACAACACCCAGCATCGAGGGTGGTTTGGAGCAGCACTACCATGTGAGCCACCAGGAACCTGGGCAGTGAAGGAGGCAGGGGAGTCCTAGGCCTCTATGGGACTGGTGACAGGGAGGCACAGGGGCTGGGCACTGTGTCCTAACCCCCCTCTCCGCTTTTCTCCAGAGTACAAATGTTCTGTGTTTTATGGCGCACCAAGTAAGAGCAAACTTCTGTCCAAATTGTGCTCTGGAGATGTCTGCCAGTGTGCAGAGGGTGAGCCTCGGGGCCTGGGGGCGGCAGCAGGGACACAGGGTGGTTGGGGCCTACTGATGTTTCATCTGGGGCCCTGATTTCAGGCAAATGCCCTCGCCAGCACCGCGCCCTGGAGCGGGGGCAGCTGCAGAATGAGGATGGTTACAGAATGAAGTTTGCCTGCTACTACCCCCGGGTGGAGTATGGTCAGTCTACCTGCCTGGACCTGGCCTGGCCTGCCCTCAGGGATCAGCTCTTTGGTCCTACCAATTATACCTGTTCCCCTCATAGGCTCACACGCAGCCTCTTTGCTCTGTCCCCAGCTTCCAACCCCTTCAACCTCCAGGGCCTTAACCTTCCCTCCTTTCTAACTCCTCCTAGGCTTTCAGGTGAAGGTTCTCCGAGAAGACAGCAGAGCTGCTTTCCGCCTCTTTGAGACCAAGATCGTCCAAGTCTTGCACTTTAGTATGAAGGACATCATGGGCCAGGCGGGTGGAGCTGGGGCTGGAGGGGGAACTGAGATGTGGGTTTTGGCCCCAACTTCACAGCTCTCTAGAGAGTCTGGCCCCCTGGATAGTGAAGAGTCAGATGAGTCTGAGCTCAAATTCCTTTGCCTCTCAGAACTCAGGACTTGGCCACAACCAGGAGAACATTATATCTCTCTGGTGGGTAAGTGGTGAGGGTTCAGTCAGACCTTCTCTTCCCCTCTAACATCTCTTGTGCACGTCATCTCCTCAGCCAAGGACACCAAGGCCACTGCTGGTCAGACCCGAAACTTCCTGGTTCGAGACTCTTGCCGCCTTCACTTAGAGCCTGGGAAAGAATATTTGATCATGGGTCTGGATGGGGTCACCTATGATACCAAAGGAGAGTGAGTACCTTGGGTCCCTCAATCTCTTGCTTTCCTCATGTCCTGTGACCTTCCTTAGGGAGCAGGTTCCTGGCACCTAGGCCCTGCCCCCTCAGAAACTCGGTGCTCCATGCTCTCCTCCCCATCTGCCCATCCTCCCGACCCCTGCAGACCACCCCCTTTGCCCTGCAGCCCCCAGTACCTGCTGGACTCAAATAGCTGGATTGAAGAGATGCCCTCGGAGCGCCTATGCCGGAGCACCCGCCAGCGGGCAGCCTGTGCCCAGCTCAATGAGTTCCTTCAGGAGTATGGCACGCAGGGTTGCCAAGTGTGAGGTGGCTTCCCACCTCCCCAGAAGCAGCCTGTGCAGAGGCAGGGGAAGCCTGGAGGGGCTGCTGCTTCCCCTGAACGCAGCCCCAGTACAGGACCAGGGGCATAATAAAGGCCTTTGGCAGCAAAGTGTCAACGTGTGTCTCTAGGACAGAGAAGAGTGTTCCCACTGCCCTTTCCAAGTTCTAGGGGGTAGAGGTCACAGTTTGCATCATCTTGGACTCTCAGGGCCTGGTGATTCCTGGGGTGTCCACCTCTCCTGGAAACCTCACAGATGGCTCATTAGGGAGCCTAGGCCATTATGGGGCTTCCTGAGCAGAATTGTAACCCACAACCTACACCCTGAGGCCCCAGAGTCCATCCCTCAGCTGTGCCTCCAGGGCCCACCACTGCCCATGTCACCACCTCAGGCTGGGCTCATGGGCAGCTGACATCTTAGCTCTTTGGCCATAGGAGCTGCTGTCCAGTCATACATACTTCTCTCTCCTCACGGAGTTAGCAGTTCTGGGTCTGTTGCATTTCGTCAAGTCCTGATATTTGAAAATCTGTTGAAACTTGATCCTGTTATCAGCAGCATTAGGTAATTTCCCCAGAGTTATGCAATCCTCAGATCTGATGAGGTCTTCATTTCCTGTTACTGACTTTAAACCAGCTAAGAGACTGACCTTGGTGAGTTTGTCAATACTCTGAGGCAACTACTCTTCAATTGGGGTCTCCCCTCCATTTGGTAGCACCACTGAGATGTTCAGGAGTGACGCAGAAATCTGCCTAAAGGAATTGATGTGAGGTCAGCTTTGATGAAAACTGAGATAGTTAAGCAATCTGCCATTCAGTCATTCAACAGAAATTTCTGGAACTCTTGCTCCATCCCATTCCACCCCAGGGATGCAAGTATGAACTCACTGTGCCTTTGGGGAGACAGACAAGTGGTTGGGAAGTCCCCATCCTCTGTACAAGGTGTGCTGAAGGAGAGACCCATGACCTATAAGGTATAGAGTAGGGGCATCTAAGGCAGTTGTCAGAAGAAGGGAGAGAAGGTTTCCTGGAGGAAGTGACATCTAAATTGAGTTCTGAAGGCTGAGAAGGAGTCAAGCAAAGAGTGGAGGTAGAAGACGTAAGCCAGGAGAAGGAAAAGTGACAAAGGTCAGAGGCCAGGACCAGCACAGAGCGCATTTGGGTAGCTGCATGTAATTCATGTCTAGAGTTTGGATTTGGAGTTGGGGTGGAAGAGATGGGGCTGGTGAGGTAAATGGAGTCCAATCATAAAGGGATGCCTCCACAAGTACTCCAGCTTTCCAGCTGAGCCTCTCCTGTTCTGTGAAGTTCTGTGTTACAGAGTTCCCCAGTGTTTCAGAGATTTCCGGGGGCTATTGCTTACATGGTCCAGTGGTTGCCTATCACATCTCCCTCCCCAAAGCCAGTCACCACGAAGGTGGTGGGAACGTTTACCAGAGCCAGGGATTTGACTGTCATTGTGGCAAGACATGGCCTGGATGTAAGAAGTCAATTATGAGGAAGGAAGCAGGTGTCACTGCCCAACCCCAGAAATCCCAGCCATCTTTTCTCCCTCCCATTCCCAGACCTGGACCCAGGCTGAGCTTCAGCCTCTTCCTGAGGGCCCCCAGCAGTTAACCAGTCAAGCTAGCAGGCTGCACAGCCCAGATCTTGATCGGCTTTCCGGGAGCACTGCCTGTGCTCTGGGTATAGCTCCAAGGGGAGGAGGGCCTCCCAGCCCTGGACACAAGTCTACTGCTCAGCTGGGTTGGTCTACGGAGCCAGGGATAGGGAGTTGGGGATGGTACAAACAGGCTATCACTTGAGGCCTGGACATCAAGTCGCCTCCAAACCTCCACAATTCATTAAGACCTGCCACCCTTATTTGGCATAAGCCCCTCAACTGCCTCCTCACCCACAAAGTGGCCCCTGATAGTCACTTGTCCAATGAGACCCCACCCCTATGGCTATAACTCCCAGAACAAGGTGTGGACCCATGGCCCCAGCTGTGGTTATTGAGTTTTTTTCTGGGGGACTTTGGAACTGATGGCCATGCTCAGTGGTACCTGGAATTCACACTCCCTGAGGCTGGGTCTGCACCCAGTGACTGCAGACCCTAAAGGCAGTCCTGCACTGGGGGTGGGCATGGGGTGGGGCAAAAGAAACTTGAATGTAGAGTGAGAGAGAGGGAAGGGAAAGGAGGGTGAGACAGAAAGGGAAGAAAGAAAGGACAGAGCAAGCAAACTGCTTCTTCCCTATGGTTTTTTCAGTCCCTCATCCGTGATCTTCCAAGGCCAATGAGTTCTCCTCCCGTTTTCTTGTTCTGGGATTCTGTGAGACAATCCCATATCCATAAAACAATTCTTGCTTTTGACTCAAGGCAGCTCAAGTTGGTGCCTTTTCCTTGCAACCAAAGAGAAGCATTCCTAATGGTTAAGGGCATAGATTCTTCAGCCAGAGTGCAAAGGCTGAATCCTAGCTTGGCTGCTTTCTAGCTGTGTGCTCGTGGGCAAGCCACTCATGATAGTATTGACTTCACAGCCTAGATGTGAGGGTTGAGTTAATATGGGTAGAGTACAGCATCTGGTACGTGGTAAATGCTCTACAATAGAGGACCATGTAATTCTTCATCTTCTAGACATGGTTGAGAATGAAGAGGGCACTATTAATAATTATACTTGGACCACAAGCATACACTGGGATGCCCTAGGCAAACAGGGCATGTAAATCACTCATCTCATTTTGTTCTCCAGGGTATTCTGAAAGGAGTATTAGAAGTGGCATAATGAGACAGACTTCATATCCACAAGCTGGTCCAAGGCAGGGTGACTGGGGGAGAAGGCCTAGGCTGAGGGTGGACACATTGGCCTGTGTGGTTGATGTGGAGCCAGAAAGCAGATTCCTACTATAGGAGCAAGGTCAGGGTTAACTTTTCCTTCCTTTCTTCTGATGGATGGTGAGGTCTTTGAAATGGGACTCTCCAAGGCCGAGAGGAATTAATGTCATTTCAGTAATGCGTCACTCTGTGGGCAGTACGGTGAGAAAGGGCTTGAAGAAAGGGCTCAAAGAGGTCCCCAAATACTTCAAGGAGCAAGTTGGGTGGCAGGGGCTCAAGAGCTGTAGGTGGCCTCACCAGGGCCTTTGCGGAGGTCTCCCGACATGCTGCTTCTTGGGCTGCTGCTGCTCCTGCCCCTGTTGGCTGCCACCCACCTGCTGTGGGGCCGGTGGATGCTCAGGTCCCTCCACCTCCCGCCTCTTGTCCCAGGCTTCCTGCACCTGCTACAGCCCAATCTCCCCATCTACTTGCTTGGTCTGACTCAGAAACTTGGGCCTGTATACCGGCTCCGCCTAGGACTACAAGGTGAGTGCCTTCATCCTTCCACGGGAGTGGGGCTACAGGGTCCTCTCCCTGTTGACACTCGGCTCTGGCTCTTTCTCAGAGGTGGTGGTGCTGAACTCCAAGAGTACTATTGAGGAGGCCATGATCAAGAAGTGGGTGGACTTTGCCGGCAGACCCCACACACCATCCTGTAAGAGGCAGGGGCATTTCTTGATGGAAGAGATGGGGCTGGAGGAAGCACAGAGCTGGAGTGTGAGGCCCAGAGGGGGGCACCAGGCCTCTGGCCTCCTCATTCAGTACCTGCCCTCTCTCCCCTCACCTGTAGACAAGCTAGTGTCTCTGGATGACCAGGACCTGGCAGTAGGGGACTACTCCCCACTCTGGAAGGCCCACAAGAAGCTTACCCGCTCAGCCCTGCTGCTGGGCATCCGAAGCTCCATGGAGTCCCTCGTGCAGGAACAGACTCAGGAGTTCTGTGAGGTGAATCTGGCCTCCTGCAGCCACCCCAGGTCAGCCTCACCTCTCCCAACAGCCCCCTGGCCTACTTAGCTCATATTCTTTCTCCACAGCGCATGAGAGCCCAGGCTGGCAACCCCGTGGAAATCCATAAGGAATTCTCCTTGCTCACCTGCACCATCATCTGCTACCTCACCTTTGGAGACAAGGTCCAGGCTCTGTTGCCCTCAGATACCTCTAGCCCATCCCTCGCCCTTTTCTGGGCCTGAATGGAGAGGGCTCCCTCTTTTTCTGGCAGGAGGACTCTCTGGTGCACAGCTTTCATGACTGCATCCAGAACTTGTTAAGCACCTGGGAACACTGGTCCATTCAAATTTTGGACATTGTTCCCTTTCTCAGGGTGAGGAGGCAGAGCCCAGACACCCCAGATCTTGGCATGGGGATGATGGGTGGCATGAGGGAGGAGGCTTCCTTCCCAACAGCTACACACTTTTGCCTCCTGCCCTAGTTCTTCCCCAACCCAAGTCTGTGGAGGCTCAAGCGAGCTGTTGAGAGGAGGGACCAGATAGTGAAGGAGCAGCTGAGGCGTCACAAGGTGGGTTCCTCCCCAGGCCCTCAGCAGAGGTGCCCCTGCCCAGGGCTAGGCAGGTTCTCTGGAATCCCCCCAGTCCTGGACTTGCTGCTACCTTCAGCCCCTCCCACATCAGGCTGGCACTCAGGCCCACTTCCCCTCCTTTTCCCAGGAGAGCCTGATGACCGACCAGTGCAGGGACATGACACACTACATGCTGCAAGGGATGAGGAAACAGAACGTGGAAGAGGGCCCCGGGGGGCAGCTCCTTGAAGGGCACGTGCACATGGCTATGGTGGACCTGTTCATCGGTGGCACGGAGACCACAGCGACCACTCTCTCCTGGGCAGTGGCGTTCTTGCTTCACCACCCTGAGGTGTGCCACCGGGGCAGGAACAAACAGTCCTGGCAGCCTGGCCAGGGAGGGCAAGGACCCAGCTCGCTCTGCTCAGAGCGGTGTGCCCCCTTTAGCTGTGTTAATCCAGAAGGGGTGCCTTCTCCCCACGTGGGAACTGCTACGAGTGCTGGGGCGTGGCTAGGAGCCTGGCAGGCCCACAGGGAAGGGGGCAGTGTTGGAACACCAGGTGCCAGGCTTGTGCCACTTTCCAGATTCAGAAGCGACTGCAGGAGGAACTGGATAGAGAGCTGGGCCCCAGTGCCTCGGATTCCCGGGTCCAGTACAAGGATCGCGCGCGGCTGCCCTTGCTGAACGCCACCATCGCGGAGGTGCTGCGCCTGCGGTCCTCTGTGCCCCTGGCCTTGCCCCACCGTACCACACGGCCCAGCAGGTAGTTTCCGAAGGGTAAGGTTCTGTGGGGAAGACCCAAGCGGGGTCCTGGCCGGCCTCTAACTCCATCCTGCGCACAGCATCCTGGGCTATGACATCCCCGAGGGCATGATCGTCATCCCCAACCTCCTAGGCGCCAACCTCGACGAGACGCTCTGGGAACGGCCGCACGAGTTCTGGCCCGGTAGGTGGCGGTGGCGGGCCGGGACAGCTGCGCTGGCAGAAGTGGGTCTGGGTGGCCCTGATCCCTCTGTCGCTCGCCTGCCCGCAGAGCGATTCCTGCAGCCAGGCGCGCAGCCCAGCGCGCTGACCTTCGGTTGCGGCGCGCGCGTATGCTTGGGCGAACCGCTGGCTCGCCTCGAAGTCTTCCTGGTGCTGACGCAGCTGCTCCGAGCCTTCACGCTGCTGCCGCCTGCAGGCGCCCTGCCCTCGCTGCAGCCCAAGCCCCACTGCGGCACCTCTCTCCAGGTGCCGCCTTTCCAAGTACTGCTGCAGCCCCGGCACGCGGGTGCCCCGAGACTGGGAGAGAGCCAATGACTGCCAGCCGCGCGCCTCAGTTTCTCTCTTTATTGCTCCCATATAAACCCCTCCCCTCCCCCCTGTAAACATAGTGCTGTGAGATCGCGGGCGGAGAAGGCGTCCTCCGGTGGCTGGATAGTGAAGGCGGCCCCTGGCTCTTCTCTCGGTGCGACCCCTCAGTGCTCGGCAGTCGTGCTGGGGCCGAGAGAGGTGGGCAGCGGCTCAGCCTCGGGCCGGGGGCCAGTAGCTTCTTGGTCTCAGCTTCATTTCCGTGAAGGGCACCGAGAAGTCGAAGCCCTTCCAGTGGTACCAGCTCACACCCTGAGAAGGGTTAGGAGAGAGTCAAAGCCAAATGTCCCAATTAATCAGTAATCAGTCTTCTCACCTCTGCTTCCCTCATCATCCTCCACTGCAAAGGACTGGCCCTTGGCAGCCAACAGCCAATAAATCATCTTACAATGACTCGTGAAGTCCACACAGATGAAGGCCCTGAGACACCCAACAGCTCAGTAACTCAGGGAATCCGTCATACTGCTGGGTTCAAACCCAGCCAGGCTGAGCCCCAACCACCCCAGCTCGCGCTGCCTCCCTGGGGTCTCACCTGGTGGTCCACTGTGCTCCCATAGAGCCCATTGAGGTTGGCATAGTGGCAGTTCTTGTACCACCAGGCCCCACGATAGGAGACGGCACAGGAGATAAGCAAGTTGTTGGGGTCTCGGTCACGGGCAGAAAAGACGCTGCCACTGTGGTAGCTCATGGAGTCCCCTGGGGGGGGAATGGGAAGCAGCAGTGAGGGCCTTCCCTGTGGAGCCTGCCCCTAGTTGCCACCCCATCCCACGGCCGCCCCTCACCTGCAGTGCCATGGTAGCCCTCCAGGTGGAGGCGGTAGTAGTCAGCAGCAGAGTCTACTTGGAAAGAGTCGTACTGGGCAAACACGGCCTCGTCCCCAGCCCGCAGATCCACCCGCATGGAGTAGTCGCCAGCTTGGGTCAGGCTGTGCAAGGCCTCGTTGCCTGAGGGTGGAGGGGAGCAAGCCCTCATCAGGGTCTGGGTGTCTATGGGATCCCCACTCTCTCCCTGGTCCCCCAGTCCCTATGAGGCACTGACCCAGCCAGAACTCCCCAGAGATGTTCCCAAAGCCGTGAGCATAGTCCTCCCAGTCCCTCCAGAAGTCTGTTTTTCCATCCATGCGGCGCTGGAAAACCTGGGAGGCAGGTGGGGGCACCATCAGCCCCTGACTCCTGGGGCAACAGCTCTTGCCCTGTGCAGACTCCCAGACTTCCCACTACCACCCACCAGCCAGCCGCCTCCATCGGTCTGCATGTCACAAAACACATCCAGGGGCCGCTCGCGGTTGCCATTGAGGAAGATGGTGGTGGTCCTCGAGGTGCTGACCCCGTTCTTCATCTCCTCCCCACAGTCCCGGGGGAAGGGGATCTTCAGCCCACCTGGAGAAGGAGAGAGATGGGCCAGTCTTCTTTTCAAGCCCTCCACCCCTGCTGGCCCCTAGCCCCACCTCAGTCCCCAGCACCCAGTACCGGTGGTGAAGGTGGTGGACACAGGTGGTGAGAAGCTCTGGTCCCACACAGCCCGGAGCCGGGCACTATACAGGGTGGAGGGAAAGAGGCCACGGAGCTGGTGAGAGGTGATGCCGCCAGAGAGTAGTATTTCCTGTGGAACAGACAAGGGCAAGTCAGGGGAGGAGAGACCCCACCCAGAGAAGCAGAGGCAGCACCTTCTGGACAAAGCCGAGGGAGGCGAGTGGGACAGGGGTGCATCACCTGGGTCTGTCCACCAGGGGTGTCAAAACTGAGTAGGTAGCCTGTGGGTGGGACCTGGGGTTCGGTCCAAGTAAGCATGGCTGTGCGGGGGGTCACCTTCTTGGCTTCCAAGTCCTGGGGGGGCTCCAGCCCTAGGAGGGGAAGATGGGGTAAGAAGATGGGGAATGAGGCCCATCTTGGCTCCCACACCCCTTTCTCCTGTCTCCAACATCCCAGAGGCTGTACCTGTGGTGAAGGTGATGCTGGCCGGGGAAGTGAAATTGGGGCCCCGAAGGCCGCGCACGGTGGCCGTGTAGTTGGTATGAAGCACAAGGTCTTGTAGGGGGTAGTCCTCGGAGCTGCCTGGGGCAGAGCCCTGTAGGGACGGGGCTGAGAGGGGGAAGGCATCACCTGCTGCCCTCCAGGCCCTGCCAAGTCCAGCCTACGCTACCCTGGATCAGCCCCTCCAGAGGCCTCAGTCCCCACTCACCCCCTGGAGCTGTGACCCGGACATTGTATTTGTCCACTGGCTTCTGGGGGGGCTTCCAGTGCAGCAGGGCAGATCCCTCAGTCAAATTCAGTGCACGAAGCTGGGTGGGGCCATCAGGAACTGGAAGAAAGGGAGGGGGTCAGAGCTGTCCCCTGCTGCTCCCCCAGCCTCTGTCCTAAACTCTGCTGGAGCCTCCAATGGCTCTCTTCCCCACCCCCATTCACTCTCAACTCCTACGAAGGTCCTCATTGTCTCGCCCCCCTATCTCCCCGTCCATGTCCCTGTCCCTCTCACCTGTGGTGAGGAAACCTGTGAGAGGCTCGCTCTCCTCAAAGCCTCGGACGGAAACCACAGTCACCTCGTAGCGGGCACCCGGGATCAGCCCCTGGAGTTTCTGGGTCTGGGACCGGCCATCCACCTTCACGCTCTGTGGCTCCCCTGAAAATATGTTGTGGGCTGAGAGGCTGCCCAAGGAACTCAAGGGGAGCCGGGAAGTAGGCACAGGGGCAGGAGAAATGAAAGCAAAGGAGGACATGGGCAAAAGGGGTTCACCTCCATCTGCCAGCTGGTAGGAGACTTTGAAGCTGTCCACCCTGGACAGTGGGGGGATCCAGCTGACCTTGGCTGAGGTCTCCCCGATGTCACTGAATTGGAGGTCACGGGGGCTCTCCAGAACTGGTGGGGGACCCAAGGAATGATGGTGAGGGTACGGGGCAGGGGGGCCAAGGACTCCTCCCTTCTCTCCCTGGATGTACCCACCACCACCCTTTTCCTCTAGACCCTCCCATGTTGTTACTTGCCATCAAGGCAATTCTGACACGTGGCGACCCCGTGTGTGCAGAGTAGAACTGCTCCACAGGGTTTTCAAGGTTGTCATCTTTTGGAAGCAGATCGCCAGGCCTGCGTTCCAGGTGGTTGGGTGCCAACTGCCAACCCTTTGGCTAGTAGTCAAGTGCTTAACTGTTCGTATCAACCAGGGGACTCCAGGTCCCAGCATATGGAGTATAAAGAGACGCCACTTTGGGCCCAGTGTGTGTGCCTGGCATGGGGCCTTGCCTGGGTTGAGGGTGCGGGCAGTGCCCTGGATGCTGTCAGCCTTGTGGGGTCCACGCAGCCCATACAGTGTGAGGCTGTACAGGGTCCCGGGCTGCAGGTCCCGGAGTATGGCTGAGCGCTGGGCCCCCTGCACCGTTAGCTCCCGCTGCAGCAGGGGACGTGGGTGTGGTTCCAGAGTGCTGGGTGATGGGATCCCAAAGCGGAGCAGGAAGGAGTCGAAGGCCTCAGGTGGGGCCTCCCAGTTGAGCCGCAGGGAACTGGTGGTCACGTCAGTCACGGATAGCTGGGACAGGCGGGGCCCTGGCTCCCCTGGGCTCTGACCAGCAGGAGCTTCCCCTACAAGGGTGGGAGAGAAGGGTTTGGGGACAGAAGCACGCTGGCTCGCTTACCTGGGCAGGTGCCTTCCACCACCTCATCCTGGCCTCTACTTCCTCATCTGCAAAATGAGCTAAGGAGGGGCTTGCACCCACAGGAAACGGCCATAGCGGCAACAGATTAGTGTAGTGCCAAGAGCTGCTCAGACAGTCCACACCTTCCTCCCTCCATGGCGCCTTCCTCATGCTCTTGCTCCTTCCCTGGAATCACCACTTCTGGACCCCCCTCCACCCTCCCAAGCCCAGAGTAGAGGTGGGTGAGGCGAAGCAGCTGGCCCTCGCCTGGAGATACCTGTGGTGCCTTCAACCAAGACGGGCCCCAGGCGTGTCCCCTCACGGAGGCCGTAGAGGAAGAACGTGTAGGAGGTGCTGGGCTCCAGGCCCGAGACCAGGACCTTGTGCTGGTTGTTGCTCACGAGCAAAGCCTGGGGCTGCCCATCTGCGTCCTGATACTGGACCACAAAGGAGTCAAAGGGGCCCTGGGCCACTGTCCATGAGAGGTGCAGGGAGTCTGGGGTCACGTCGGTCACTGCCAGTGTCCCCAGGCGGGGCTGTTCAGGGGGTTCGGGGCCCTCTGTGACAGGAAGCAAGGGGGCTGATGTGTCCTCTTCTGGGGCTGAATGAGAGAAGTCCAGAGGAACAGCTGAGCGGCGCACCATGGGGGCCTCCCCCTCCATCTCGTCCCCCAAAGGCGTGACTCCAGGGCTGGCCCAAAGCTGAGGTGGGTCTTTACAAATCCAGGCCATGGCAGCCAAATGGAGAGAAGGGAGCGACCAAGGCTCTTCCAGTACCTTCTTTCTCTTGAACTCCCCTGATTCCTGCTTTGTCATTGATACCTGCCACCCCTAGGCCTTCTCTGGGCCCCAGTGCTATGGCCCACCTCCTCAGGAGGCTGTGGTGGCCCATTACTCCTCTGGTAGCGTAGTGCCTAAGGCACTTGACTGCTAACTAGAAGGCTGGTGGTTCAAACCCACCAGCCACTCCTCGGAAGGAAGGTTGGGCAATCTACTTCCATAGTGATACTGCCTCGGAAACCCAGGGAGGGGTCGTTATGAGTCAGGGCCGACTCGACGGCAAATAACAACAACAACAACAACAACAACAACAACAGGGTTCCTCTAGTGTGTCTGAATCAGCCACTTGCTGTATGCTTATGCACCCCAATGTTCTAGCAGACCCACCTCTGGATACTTGCACAAGCTGCATCCCCACCTGGGAAGCCCATGGTCATCACCCAAGCCAAGAGCAGTTTGGCCCTCCCTGAGCTCAGGCCATGTGCAGCTGCATTCTAGAACAGCTGACAGTGAAAGGGTGGGGGGCTGGCTGGGGAGTCCACTGACCAAATCGTGCAGCCAGGTCAGGCCCAAGTGGCCCAGCAGGAAAACCTGCTCTCAGTGCAGCCACATCTATAGGTTCCCGTCATCCTCTCCTTCTGTCCTATAGGGTCACTGACACCATGGCAATGGGGTTTCTTTGTGTCTGTGTCTCAGTAAATTTCCATTGCAGAAAATGCTCTGGACTTATCCATGGGAGAGGAACTTGCCCCTCTCTGGGCAAAGCCACTCTGCTGGCAGGTATCAGCTGCCCCGACAGAGTAACGGGAGCAGCTGGCAGCAGTGGGGCAGAGAGCAGGCCCAGGAACCACTGCTGGGGCCTTTCCTTCCCACCTGTCCTGTCCTGGCTCCTGCAGTTGACTAGCCTCTGGAAGGGAGTCAGTACTGACACCACCGAAAGTCCTCTTCCGGCCCAGGCAGGAACCCCTCTTCCCTACCTGCCCACTCTGCCCATCTCTTCCTCTTCAGCCCAAAGGCACAAGGAAACCCCCTGAGGCCAGCCTATGTATCCAAGGCTGCCAGGCCAAGATTTTGTCAAGTCCAAGAGGGACAGCCACCCACTCACCTGTCACCCCCAGGGCAGAGGCGGGGCCCAGGCGCTTCCGTCCGAGGAGCCCATAGAGCAAGAACTTGTATTTCCTGCTTGGCTCCAGGCCTTGTATGGTGACCTCACGCTGGTCTCCAGCCACGGGCACTGTCTGGGGCTGCCCATTTGTGTCCCTGTACTGGACCACGAAGGAGTCGAAGGGGCCCTGGGCCACTGTCCATGAGAGGCGCAGGGAACCTGGGGTCTCATCAGTCACTGTGAGCTCCCCGAGGCGGGGTAGGGGCTGCTCCTCCTTCAGGGAAGCTGTGGGAAGGGGTGGGGGGCAAAGACTTAGTCACCTTGGCCCTGGCAACTTCTGGGAGCATGAGGGTCTGGGGAGGGGTCCCTGAAGTGTGGCCTCAGGGAAATCTACCTGAGGAGAGAGACAAGTCTGCTCTTGTCCTGCCCTATGGGGCCGAGGTTGACCAGTGTCTTCTTCTCCCCTAGCTCCTTCCCTACTTTGATTAAGGTTGCAGCACATACATGAAACATCACCACATGAGGAGGAGGGGCTGGGGAGGCTGAGCAGCGCCTCGTTCTCAGGGCCTTGGGTTGCTCTGACCCCCAGCACTCTGACCAGGACACGGCCAGAGCTGAGAAAGACTCCCAGAGGATCTGGGTTGTCATGGAGACGCCCCCAAACAGTGAGGCAACCAACAAAGCTCCTGAGCTCCCATCACCCCAGGGCCATGACCTCCCTTTCCATCCACTTCCCAGCCCTGCATGAACACTACAGTCGGGGGAAGCCAGGTGGCGCAGGGAAGAGACAGGAAGAGACTTGCCTGGGTGGGGGTGGTGTTGACTGACATAGGGCCCCCATAATGAGGGCTTGGGGAGAAGAATTATGGCATCTGAGGGCCCTGGGGCCCCAACTGGCCACCTGCCCCAACCTTGTCTGGCCAGAGTGACTCATGGTCCTGGGAGTGGGGTAAGGGTCAGTGACCTACCCCACCCCTCCTCGGGGGGGGGGGGGGGGTGCTGAGTCAGGGCACAATGACACGGGATTTTTCCAGTCTTTTTGCAGCCAAGTCCTCCTGTATTTTCCACCTCTTGCCTCAGAGTTGGGCGGGTAGGAGGAGGATGTGAGCCTTTACTGAGCGCCAATTGGTATTACTCATAATTATTATGCAGGTGAGGAAACCGAAGCGCAGGGGAATAAAGTGGCCTGTCTATGGCCACACAGCTGGCACACACAGCTGGCAAGGGTTGGAATTGCAAGTTGAACACAGGTCTGCTTGGCACCACAGCCCGTGTTCTTTCTATTATGTCGGCAGTTAGCAAACACAGGAGATGATGCGTATAAAATGCTCAGAATGCTGCCTGGCACACAGTAATCAAAAAAATAATAAAAACCAAACTTGCTGCCATCAAGTCGATTCCGACTCACTGAGACCCCATGTGCATGTGCAGAACCATGCTTCCTGGGTTTTCAATGACTATGACCTTTTAGAAGCAGATTGCCAAGGCTTTCTTTCAAGGTGCCTATGGGTGGATTCAAACCGTCAACCTTTTGGTTAGCAGCCAAGCGCTTAATCATTTGCACCACACAGGGACTCATGGCACACAATAGGGCCTTAATTAAGTATTCGTTTTTTTGTTGGTATGACTTTTAAGCCAAGGCTGAACACAGGAGAATGGATTTTATGGGAAGGACATGAGGCAGCTCTGGGGGGGTTGGGCTGAGATGGGCTTGGAAAAGGTGGGAGGCAGTGCAGTGCTCACCGGTCATGCCTTCTGCAGAGACAGGCCCCATCCGCTTCCGGCCCACCAGTCCATAGAGCTGGAACTTGTATTTCTTGTTGGGCTCCAGGCCGGGGACGGTGACCTTGTGCTGGTCTGCAGCCACAGGCACCACCTGGAGCTGCCCATCCTTGTCCTTGTACTGGACCACGAAAGAGTCGAACTTGCCCTCTGGGACTGTCCATGAGAGGCCCAAAGAGTCAGGGCTCACGTCCACCACTGCCAGCTCCCCCAAGCGGGGAGAAGGTTTCGTGTCTGGAACTGGAAAAGAGAATGCATACATGGAAGGTGACAGAAATGGTAGCAGGCAGACCACCAAGCTCCCTCTGCATGCTGGGGCTCTGAACTGGAGAGCAGGAACAGGGGGTTCCTGAGAGCTGGGAGGAAGCGGGAGGCAGAGGACAAGGATAAAAGAGGAGCCAGGGAATACAGCAGGTGGCCCTGGTCATGTAGGAAGGGTAGGTGGAAGATGGCAGTGGAGGGAAGGAAGGGAGCTCAGGGCATTGAAGTCACTGGACCCAGTAAATAAATGATCCCTAGGCACTAACCAGGCAGGAGCTCTGGTAGCGTAGTGCCTAAGGCACTTGACTGCTAACCAGAAGGCTGGCGGTTCAAACCCACCAGCCACTCCT